AACGCGAGGAGGTGGAGGCCGGGTGGCCACGGCCGGGCGCCCGCGCGGGCTCCGCTGGAACGCGCCGCTCTGGAGCTGCCAGGATCCCGGTGTTCCCGGCGATGTCACAGCCAGGGAGGCGACAGGGAGGTTCTCTGCACTGCGTAGGGTTCTGGAGCACCCGAGCAGGGTTGGGCACCTGGCTGGGATGTGGGGGAGAGGCCTCCCTCCCTTCTCAGGGATGACCTTTCTTTGTACTTTCCTACACACTTCCTCCCTTATTTCTGCTTGTTTTTTGATTTTTTTTTTTGCTGCTTCTTGGCAAGCCTGTTGTCAAGCGATGTCACAGCCGGGGAGGCGACAGGGAGGTTCTTTGCACTGCGTAGGGTTCTGAAGCACCCAAGCAGGGTTGGGCACCTGGCTGGGATGAGGCCTCCCTCCCTTCTCAGGGATGACCTTTCTTTGTACTTTCCTACACACTTCCTCCCTTATTTCTGCTTGTTTTTTGATTTTTTTTTTTTGCTGCTCCTTGGCAAGTCTGTTGTCAATGGCAGGGCAGCATTGATAGCAGTGAGCAACACCGAGCAGCATCGGGGGGAAATAACGTTCTCCTGCCCTCCGAGATGCCCGCAGGAGGCAGAGGGACTGGGCGCAGCCTTTGCAACCTGCATCCCGCAGGATGGCTCCTGCCTTCCTTCCCTCCCTTTGGGAGACTTCTCTCAGTTCTTACTGGCACCATCTACATTTTTTGTCAGAAAAAAATAAGTTTTTTTTGGCTTTCGTGGTTGCGCCTGTTCATTTTGCACCAGGAATAAATGGTTTTCCAGAGGCTGCAGACAGCCGGAGGCTGCAGCTTTGAGGTATGGACCTCTCCATTTGATCTCACGGGAATGTTAATTGTGAAAACCCGACAAGCAAATCTGCTGATCACAAAGACCCAGTGACCTGTTCTGGTCCTAGAAAGCATTTTGTGCTGGTCCAAAAGCCCAGCATGTTTGTAAGTGTGAGGCGGGCTAAAGTCTGAGCCCGATTCTGCAGTAGCTGCTTGTCCCGCAGTTCCTCCTCCTGCCACCCTGCCCTCCTTATTGCTGTCTTCTGTGGCTCCCTGGTGGATTTTGCTCTGGAAATAATGACCCTTACTGGGTGCTGTTGCTCCCCATTCTGCTGGATAGAGCATTACCAAATCCAATCCAAATGTGGTTAAGAAAACCGGGCAAGGTCTCATCACCCAAAGCAGGTTGAGCTCAGCGTAATGCAGGAACACGGCTGCTTTGGGAGCTGCTGTCCAGATTGGATCGGGGAAGGATCTCTGCTGGCTCTTGGATCAGGGGAC